TATATATTTTGATTGGTTGATTGCATCTGCTTTCGTTCACATTATAACACTTAAAATTTTAAAATTCACAGTTATCAGATGATGTAAAAATATTATTAATTACGAATTTCAAACTTCAGATAAAACTTTATTAATAAATTAAAAAGCAAGAGGCTTTTAAAAATTGTAGCCTAAATCTCTTTTCTGAACATTTTAATCACTTTTAAACTCGAAACTTTGTAAAACTTTTGGTACCGGAAGTAAAACTTGACGTAAGCTTACCTGTCCCATAATTTCATGCCCCCACCTTGACCTGGCTTATGGGCCTTATTATAATGAGCTGGTATTATGCCCCAAATTCCATCGATGGCCTTGCGTGCCAAAAATTTATCAATGCAATGGAAATTCGCGAGCCCCGAGAGGAAAGTTGAATTTTGCTATTCGGAAATACAATATGGTAATGAAGAATGATATTACGTGAATTGCAGGAATGCTAATCATTCGTTGGCGTTATGATAGAACTGTATTATTGTAATGTTACACAACACTTCACTTCACTTCACAAATGTTCCTAAATAGTAATAAAAATAATTAAAAGTGGCAGTGAACCTTTAACGCTGGCATAATTCTGCTGTATTGCGATACTTATTCGTTAAGCGAGGAAAGCATCAGCTCTGAGGTCACCGGTACTGTCTACAAGGTGCCAACTTAAATCTTTAATTAGCGCCTGTGAACCCCACGTTAGAGGAGACTTTTATATTTCAACCGTCTATTATTTTCCACATAAAGTGTGCGTTGGCCGGGAAGCGAACCCGGATTACCTGCTAGGAAGGCAACTATGCTGACCAGAGTTGTATGAAGTCCTATTATCTGTCAACAATCATTGTTCCGTCATCCTTATATGCACAACATGTGTTTTTGACTTGACTTGATTTTCGTAATGAATATTCGTATTATAAAAATTAATTATATTGTAATACTTTCATAATAGCTGCTACTATAGCTTTTACAGTTATTAGCAAAGAACATAATAATTCAATTGCTTTTTATTAATTCCAACATGAGACCCCGTAGCGAGTTCCCAGTTCCATTGTAATGTTTACTGAAATCGTTAATTTAGCCCAAGATAATATTACATTAGAAGCATTTATTTTTATAACAGAGTATAAAATTAACACGAATGAATTATACAAATTAATGTGGAAATAATTATGATGTTTAAAATTCACGAGTGGCGCTGTAAAATATAATCCTTATCTTTTTGGCGATAAATATTCAAAATGAGATTGAGGGATTATTTTTAAGCATTGCAACACAGCTTGAATAATGTATTTTTTACAATATTGCAGTATTTCATACTTTAAGTGAGGTTTGGTACAAAATGCAGACGTAATGCAGATATTAGTAGTTTTAATTATAACAAGAAAGATTACTACAACATAACAATATTATGTGAATTTGATTTAAATCACTTATTGTTGCCACCTTTAAATAATGCTGTCTCCAAGTCAATACAACTTAGGCTACTTGAAGAAAAGCCATTTCGTGAGCCAACGAGCAGACCGAAAGAAGTACGAACAACTGTCATGCAACTGCAGGGTTAATTTCACTGGTCATTCCTTGAAATATTGACTTCAGACCCGAATACAATTCCTGAACTGCATCTGAGATGCGATTGTAGAATATTTGGTTACCTACCAAGGTTGCGTTGCATGATTAAGCCACTAGGCAATAGCATTTTTTTTTTAAAGCACAATAATTTATAGCTCACCTAATTAGTGATACTGCTGCCCATGGGCATTCTCAATTCTGGAGGGTTCGTCTAATCTTTTAAGAATTGGTATACCCTGTTCTTGAAGGACCCTAAGTCGAGTTGGTATAGCCTCATCGTATAGCATATTCGCAATTTCCCATATAGGTTATATACAAAAAAATTACCGCTTGCAGCTCATCGTTATACCACCAGCATGCACTAGAGATTTTCCCTATTTGCCGACGTGACGAGAATTAATTTATCCGAGTGATACGTTTGCATTCGAGCTAAATTCCGTACCTACGTTGTTTATTGAGTCTAGTGGATATTCTACAAAAATACAATTCGAAATTGAAACTGGAATAAATGTGGGCTATTGTTGAATACTATTATATATCTTAGATAATCTACTAATATATTAACTGTAATTTATAATATAGTTATTATTTAATATAGTCTGTTATACTAAGTGCCATGTACAACACATAGATCCTATAATAACGAACGATAATTTGAAATACGATCGATTTATGAATGAGATCTACCTGGTCTAAGAAGAGTAAATTTATCTTAATTTTGTCAACCATATCAACAAATTAGGTATTCGCAACCATTGTGAAAAATATATCTTTCACGCGCTTCTTAAAAAATATTCAATTAACATAGATAAACGAGATTATTATATTATAATGGTATTATACCTAAACTGGAGCGAAAATAAAAGTTATTTTCGTCAAAAGTTTTTAGGAGATTAAACCTTTTTATATGAATTTTCATCATGGAAAATATTAGGTTCGTAAACGTTTGTCAAGTAACAGATTTAGAAGTTACATAAGACGTTCCAAGAAAACTAGATAAATATTTTTTAATTTATTAGATAAATTTATGTGTTATGTAGATTCTGCGTTCTTATTATTATATGTTACACTAATGTCAAAGGCTTGTAACCAAAATAGTGTAAAGGTTTCATGCAAGTCCTTAAAGAACTTATAGTAAATTTAAATTCAGACCCTTCAAATTTATTTTATATTTCATGATAAGTGTACTTACCTACCTATATACCTCCAAGCCTCCAAGCTCCAATCTTAGGAGATTTTTTTTAGGAAAAGACGAACAGTTGACGTACCACGAGGCACAAATATCTAAAAACTGATTAGTTCTTCTCAGGTAGTTAGCGAAAAGGACATCCACATTTCTATACAATTACGTGACTTTAATTCAGTATCCCCAAGCTTTTAGTCAACAATTCGGCAACTGCCATGTTTGAGAGTGCGACTCACGTAAGTAATTAATCTCGGTTTTATGAGCTTTTCCACACGACAACTACATATTATGATATTCATTTAACATGCAGTTAGTGCATATTGTTTGTTTTAATGTGATGAACACGTTTCATATTTGTATTTACATTAAATTTTCTAATATATAGGATTAATGAAGCTCTTGTCTAGATACAAATCATTTCTTTTTGACTATTATCACTTTAAACTATACGAGTTGAATTCCAGCCCCTTGTGGCCTGTGTGATCAAATCTACTACACTACACTAACGCGCAGTGGCGTAACTATACCATCTGGGGCCCGTGGCAAATTCTGTTGATGGGGCCCTATCAGTAAAAATCGTCACGTTGTACTCAGTTTAATTTTAATAAACTTTGAAATTTTCAGAGTACTCAATTTCACGTTGTATATGTCCCAATAGGCCTCCTCTCTTAGCCGAGAGGGAATGGTCTGTAGTCCCCACGCTAGCCCAATGCGTATTGGAGACTTCACATTCATCCATAGAACATATCTCTTGGTCAGGGGCCCTCTTGGGTCGGGGGCCCGTGGCATTTTGCCAGCCCTACCACCCTACTGTTACGCCACTGCTAACGCGCTCCACCACTTTATGGAACCTGCATCCATTCTAGGTATTTCCAAACTGTAACGACTTAGGAGTTATCAAAAAAAAGCGCTACTATCTTAAAGGCCAGAAATGTACTTGGAAGCCCGGCGTTGCAGGTATGAGTGGCAGTAAGTACTTAACTCCAAATGATATGCCGGCTGGTTTTCCTCCTGTACCATAAAAACATATCATCTAGTAAACAGGCTGTACACTGTAGAGTTTCTATAAACAAAAGTTCGTTGAGCTTACTTAGTATAATTTAATTATTCTTAGTAAATTACAGATTGTTGTAACTTAATTAAATGTAAGGCGTATGCAAATTTTCTTACGTAATGTATAGGGAATCAAAGCAGTTCTCAAGGCGAAACGCATTTATAAAATGGATTCCTAAGTTCCAATCCTGGGCAAGGTTACGGTGGTCCCTTATTTCCCTAAAAAAGGTCGGAACGAGGCACTTTGTGCAGGGAAATTCAATTTTCTGAAAACCAAGGTCGCGATATTGTGAGAATTCCGCATTGTGAGCGTAATCCGAGTTTTATTTGAAATTGATTGAATATTTATTTAGCAGGCTTGAGAATTTAGCTTAGCAATGAATATGAATAACGCTTTAATTTAGACGTCTTTATATCGTGTCGACTTTTGTCTATGTTAGTCGCACTATACTATGAGTTTTTACATATAAGAGTGGATATATTATAAGATCCTGTGTTCTTATCAAATATATAGTGAAAGAATTAATAGAATAGTACCGCAGGACTAACCATTTTATAAAAAATAAAATAAAAAGTCAGTGCCACTGCAACGATTTTCGTATCTGTTTCATGATTATTTGTCAATTTAGTAGGCAGGTGATCAGCCTCTTGTGCCTGACACACGCCGTCGGCAAGGGTCTAAGGCAAGTCGGTTTACTCACGATGTTTTCCTTCACCGTTCGAGCGCATGTTAAATGCGTACATAGGTAGAAAGTCCATTGGCGCACAGCCGGAGATCGAACCTATGACCTTAGGGATGATAGTAGCACGCTAAAGCCACTAGGCCAACACTGCTCTACAAACATCAAGGACAGCATAAAGCTGTGGCCGTATATGGAAAAGGGATCATTAATGTTATTACCAAAATTGTTGTTACTGTTCATCTGCAACGACCGGATGACCAGAGCCGACAAAAGCCGACGAAAAGTCGACGGCAAGTGTCGGGCATAGGAAGCTGATCAGCTACTTGCCTATTAGATTGACAAACGATTATGAAACGGGTACAGAAATCTGAGGCCCAGACCTGAATAGGTTGTGGCGCCACTGAGTTTTTTTATTTAATGTGTTTATGCTTAAGTCAACATTAATTACGTAATGATAAAGACAGAAATATTTAAAATAATTTATTTTATTAATGGTGGAGAAGGATCGGTGAATGGTGTTTAACAATGGGGACCACTGGTGCAGCGTGAACCAGTGGTGCGTGAACCAGTGGCGCGTGTACCAACGGGGCGTGGACGATGGGTCTGTGGTGAACCACTGCGGAGTGCACTGATGCCACTGGAACCACTGGGGCCACGTGATGAACCACTGGGTGAGCAACAGGGACGATTGGAGCAATCACCCCCGCACTTGCTACGGCTACCAGAGCGAACAGAACTACCTGAAATATTATTTACATATATTAAAGATGTTTAATCAATATTATAATTAAGGAAAATAAGGCAAAAACTAATTACTTGGTATTAATAAAATAATTTCTAACAAAAACGGTAACAACAATTACTAAAACCCAATATTTAAATACATAAACAATCGTTTGTAGTTTACATAAATCAAACAAAAACTAATTAAAAAAAAATAACAGTCAAAATATTTTCTATTGAAAACGTTGTTAGTAAAGTTTTATGAAAATAATGCTCAAACTACAATAATTACATTAAATAAACTTAAATAATTATATAAAAAAATAAGACAGATTAATTAGATAAGATTTACTAATATTTATGATATCATATGCTATTAATAATGGCTTAGTGGTTAGTGCCCATGTATAATCCTAGTCCTGGATTCCATTTCCAGTGGAACAGTAACTGGCAAAACTAATAAACTTAACGGTTCAGTTGCAGCAAGCTGATCACTTCAGATCTCAAAACTACTAATTCCTATTGTTATTAATATATACCTTAAAACTAACGCAAACGGTTTTGATAAATAAACACAGAAATCTCCATAACCTTTGGCACAGTAATATTTTATTATTAGTAAATAATTTTTACAATAAGATATAATAAGATCTTACCAGCTTGATCATTGTGCTATTGTATCAATGTGACTGTGTCTAACGAACTGCCGTAGTCCTTATATATCCGTTATTTCCACGATCTTGTAAAATCCTTACCTTCGTTGAGAAATCTGCGTCTAAGTACAATCGCTTTATACAGGATGTTGTTTAAATTCCACGAGCTATCTTAAATATGTACAAATGATTAAGTAGGAAAATTCCAAATTTAAAAGCTGGCTACGAAAAATATGTATTAAAAAAAACAAATAATCTATTTATTTTACGTAACTTTTGATGCATTCGAATTTTAAAGGCCACGAATTACTTGTATAAATGACAAATTGTTTTTCATTTACGAAACTTTTGATGCAGAAATAAGGCCCCGAAGGCCTAAGAAAATATGAGAATAGAACGAAAAAATATGAAAGCTCAGTTGGAGGCAACTACGAGTATGAACGTAATCCATCAAAGGACGAAGAAGCCTGAATATTTAGATATCAAATACAACCATCGGAATTTTGATAAGAAATTTCACATGGCGAAGAAATCACTCTTATAAGCTATACAATATTTTTTACATCGACATATATAAAATATTTACTTTAACATTTATATGAAAAGCTAGCGTTTACTTATTTTATTTAAAAAATATATTATTATATTTTAATGTCCACTATTTTAAGCTAATTACTAATCTATTTTTGATCTACAATTTTTCTCCGTTATAAGTTTTTTGAGAATTTTCAAATAAATTTTCATAAATTATACAAATCGACACAAAGGCTTAGTGTCGACTTACTATTACATATTTTATCTAATATACCATAGATTAATAATAATTTCGACGAAATTCTTAATAAATACGCGTGTACACCTTGATCCTTTAACAACAATATAACATCCTGTAAATAAGTACAACAAAGATTTAGTTCGCAAGATCACGACACATTTACAGAAAATTAATTGTATCCGATAGCTTCGTTAAGGTTAACGGTCTAATTCTTGCAATTTATATATATTATATATATATAGTATATACTTTGCAATATAGAATGCGAAGCTTATTCATAGATGAACAATCTTTATCACCACCTACTGGCGGGAGATAGGCCTCCACGGTAGCCAAGTACGCGATATCAGAAGACACTCTGACGATTTTTTGGTACCAAGAAAACTGGTTCGAAATAACCTGTGGTCCAAATAGTCCTATGTTCGTTCACAAATTAACAATTATAACAACATTTATTTCGGCTTGATAGAATACCAACCTAACAATATCAATTAAGCAGATGCTAACAACACGGCTTGTCATATATGATACATAAATAAGAACAGTGTTAGCCTAGTGGCTTCAGCGTGCAAGTCTCATCGGGGTCATAGGTTCCCCGGCTGTGCACCAATGGACTTTATTTCTATGTGCGCATTTATCATTTCCTCGTACGGTGAAGGAAAACATCGTGAGGTAACCGACTTGCGTTACCCAAAAATTTGGCAGCCTATTAAATTGACAAATGATCATGAAACAGATATAGAAATCTGTTAGGCCCAGACCTATAAATATAAAAATATAATACGTAAGCGCACTCTAGTACACAAACTCATCACAATATAAGGCATTGAGGAAGCTATGTATCGGATATTTAGCATCGACTCATTAATTGCTTTTCCTCATTACAACTCAGGTCATTGTTTTTCTGATTACATTTTTATTTACATAAACTGAATCAATAGCGCTTGCGTCGTTTAATTATAAAAAAATAGCAAGGTTATTAGTTATTACGACAATATCATTGACTACCTATGCCATTCGGATTTCTGGTCGATATTTTGAAGATGTCTCAGTCTTTTGCTCACATTATGAGATTTAAAAACAGAAGTCAGTTTGTTGTCTTTTGTTTTCTATATTTTGTTTATAGAACAAGAGTTTTTTAATTGAATGTTTCCGAAATTTTAAGAGGTTTTTGTTATTGAAACACTTTAACTTTTAATATGAAAACAAGAAAATCTAATTTAGTAGTTGAGATATAATATTCATTTTAATTAAAATAAGCTGTTTTTATAAATTCACACATATTATGAGCGATATTACAAAATTAAATAAAACATAATGAATACTGGAAGGGATTTAAGAAAACATAGCGGTTTCCGGTCTCTCAAATATGCTTTCATTAATTTATGTTATATATTGGACGCAAATATTTATTTTATGTTTACTGCGAAACAGTATGAAAATATTACGTTTTTATATAAATACTTATTAGATACAATTATATACAAATAATGTTTGATAAGTACAATTTTATCAATATTTTTCGAAGATATTAGCGTTCCTAAACTCCTTAACATAACGGTAAAACTCAAACTAATTTTATATGATATGTACAAAATATACCAACTGGTAATCTGGCCTATTGACTCGTTATTAGTTCTTTACTGTTATCTACGATCTAAGTGGCTACACAAAGCGACACTAGCAAAATGAAATTGAATGCAAATGAAAGACGAACGAGCATCTGTTGTTTAAAAAGAAAAATCCGTCGGTGAACAGGCGTGATTAGAATGAACAGAACGGTTATAAATAACAAATATTTTCCTCCTCCTTTAAATCTTTTTCTAAGTTTGGTATAGTGTACTTTTTGTTCTGTAAAATCGAGTTCGAAAATTAAAATTATATATTTGAATTTTAATAAAGAGAGACTTAAGAATAAAGAGTCATCATGAGATCGGAAAATCAAATAATTTTTCTCTAAGCACCATTAAGTGTGGCTTCTGCGTTCATACTAAACGTCGTGAAGAAATCAACATATCTTAGACCCAAAAACCGACGACATTTTGAATGTATCCATTCTGCAGCACCCGATAGTAAGCGTCTTCAGCTCGCCTAATTTCTGCAATCATATAATAAATATATATCATAGTACAAAATAGCGGAGAGGCGACCCCACGCCCCCCCTCGCTATGTATAAAATAAGCATAGTCCCGTACTACAAGATAAATAGGATATCTTAAATTATTATTATAAAAAAATATATTTATAATGTAATGAAGGTTGGTACTTATGTATAAAATAAAATTATCAAAGAAACGTATTCATTGTAAGGTCAACCGCCATATATGGTTGTAGCGCCACTGGATTATTTTTTATAATTCGTTTTAATGTGTCATATATGATGCTGGATAAGTATATTGTTTTTTTAAAACTGGCTTGCAAAAGGTTGTAGCCTTAATGTTAAATAATAATTGACTCCCGATTGTCAAAAACGTATTTGAGTCCCGACTTTGAATCTAAATCTAACCTCTAATGACTTGTGTTATTATCTTAACTTGGCAATTTAAATTATTAAGTTATATTCTCATTTACATCAATCAGGGTTTAATGCCCGGAAAACAATTACAAGATTATCTAGATTAAGTTCGAACTAGCTTATGCTCGGAGTCGATAATGGTTTCAGCTTAAAGTTGTAACATCGTATTTTTTTCTTTCTTTTAATGTTTTTTCCAACATTTTAATGAACTAAATTATTTTATATACGTTTAGTACCTGACACATGTCGTATGTGGGTCTAAGACATGCCGGATTCCCTACAATATTTATGATTATAAGTTAACTTAAAATTAAAAATTCATCGGTGCACGCCTCGAATCACAATTCGATCGCACAACGGTTGTAAGTCGCAGGCTTTAACTATGCCAAACACTACATGAAAACGGAAACTACTGATAATCAATTGGGAAGTAACGGGACTTAAAACAATAACTTGGAGATCAGCAAAGGTTGTTAAGTTTATCGTATCCCAGTTCGAAGCCTTCCTAATTCCGTGCCACTTTGCACAGCCGCTATCTGCTGAACGAACTTAGCAATTACCATCTCATTTAGTATTCACAGTCGCTACTCAGTAATTAAATTGAAAAGCCAGTCATTATAGATATTGGGCGTCTAATTGATCGGGTCAATGACCGCTGGCTTTGTTATTGTTAGGTTTGGGTAAGTGCATGACGACGCGGCTAGTAATTGGATGGGGAGGATACAAATAAATTTATTTTAATCTCGGTAACCAAAATGAGAACGCAATAAGATGTTATTGTATGTATAAGTTATCTTGCTTATATGTATTGTTTATAATTTTAATAAATAAAAATTTAATAATTCATATGTTTCAGTGCCTACTACCACATATGATTAGTACTGATATGTTTACTGACGAGTAGCTCTAAACAATATTTCTTTTAAGGGATCCAAACCAATACTAGCTAAATTTATAAGCGTAGAAAGGGCTTGTTTAAGATAATTGTAAGCTGCGAAAGCGAATAACATAAAGGCGATTTTTGAAGTCACACATTTAAAACTTCAGTTACAAGTTTCATTACAATCGGAAATAGAAGAGCTCGTCTATTTTAATTGATTTTTCTTGAACAACTTGAATTAAATTTTAAACTTTAAATAAAGGTTGAATGGATTTCGAATCACAACAAATGCAGTATGGAGCCAATGCAACTTCTCATTTGTTTAGTTACGTAACTGCTCCAACTTGCGTGCAACAACGTGCTCTTGAGAAATGGGGCAAAAATGGAAAATTTTGGTACAAATGATGTTAATCTATTAGCACTACAACCCCATATGGGCTTTGGTTTCAGAATGATTTTTTTCTTTTATAGACAAGACGTAGGTAGCCTGACGTATGTCGATTTGTGATTAAGACATACCCGTAACGATGTTTGCCTTCACATTACTAGCAAATTTTAATTCCGCACATAGATATGCACAGCCAGGACTAGTACTTACAATCTAAGGGTTGTGAAATGCAAGCTGGAAACGCTAGGACACCTTGCACAAACTTAAAAAATGTATGCGTGTACTTACGTATTTGCTTTGCGTAAACTTGTGCAAGTAGCTAAACCACTTTTTATATGACAGGGGACAAACGGGCAGGAGGCTCATCTGACGTTAGGCGGGCACATTACCAGAAGGCTCGCAATTGCGTTGCTGATCTTTTAAGAATTGGTACGCTCTTTTTTTAAGGATCCTAAGTCCAATTGGTTCGGAAATTGTTCAGTGGGCTGGTTCTAGATATTGGTGGTGCGTGGCAAAAATAACCTTAAGACGCTGTTGTGGAAAAAAATCCTCACCATGCTTCTTCTTATAGTGTATAATATAGTAAAATTTTTAAAATTAACACGATCAACGTTGTATGTGGTCTTTTAAGTTTGTGTTTAACATAAAGAACATTTGATAATCTACAGTTGCGGACAATATAAACATGAAACACAATCCAAATGTGACCATTAAGTAATTATAACTAATCCACCTTCACTTTCTAAAGGTTATCGATTACGGGGTCAATATGTGGAGGTTGTATTACCGTGAACTGATATTCTTTAAATAATACTTATAAAAAATATTTATTTATCACACATAATAAAGACAAACCATTAGCAATATTGGTTTTATTCAACATGACTGGACCCATTTGGCTAATTATGATCGTGTAATATTTTGGAAGTTCTGGGAAGGTATAAAAGGTGGGAAATATAAATAAATAGTGAAGAAAAATAATAAGAAGGACAGTTGAATTTTCCAATAAAAACTGTTCCTACCTGAAAATATATAATGTCTTTTGTCTTTTTAGAAATGAAAAATTGTCACGTGGTTGGCATATATTTGCCTTGAGAAAATTGTGTTACATAGCTGTAGTATGAGGTACGATCTCTTTGGTCTGTTTTAAAAATATTAAGTTTTGACATAAATATATGTAGATGATACGAAGTTAACCGGGTCTTTTTATGTAATAAAAATACGCGTTATGTAGCCTTAGGCTTTATTAGTGTGCCTTGTTACAAACAATACCTGTGAAATGGAATTAGAGCAGATTCCACTAATTGATTTTCTAATATAAATTATCCAAAAAAATCCTATAAAAACTAAATGTTTAAAAATTGACTTTGCTATACCCTTAGATTTAAGTTCAATATGCGTAAGAATGTATAAATTCGTTTAGTAATTTTTGTGCTAATTAATATAATAAAAATTATATCGTTTTTATTAAGTGCTAAATAGATAATTTAAATTAATTGAGTTATATAAAAATACTAGTGGACCCCACAGACGTTGTCCTGCATGATATTTAAAGCGATTAGGATATTAAGCAAAGTATGAAAGTACCGACTGCAGTGCCATCTGCCGGGCTGATTTGTGAATCTAAACCATTCCCAGATCCCCTTGAACACACACAAAAAATTTCATCAAAATCGGTCCAGTCGTTTGAGAGGAGTTCAGTCACATACACACGCACAGAAGAAATATATATATTAAGATTAAGGAGGAAAATTGTGTGTTAAGAATGCCGTTTTCTTCCCAAAAACATTAATATTAGACAACAACAACCATAATATTAGAGATCCAGAACTATACTGGTTTACTGAAATCTACAGTTAACAATTTTATTAACATACATAGTAATAATAAAAATAATTAAAAAGAAAATTAAAACAAACTTAAAAGGTTTGGTCCTCGCTGTATTGCGATACTTATTCTCTGAGCGAGGAAAGCACCAGCTCTGGGGTCACCGGTACTATCTACCAGACGCCAACCTAAATCATTAATTAGTGCCTGTGTACAACCCCACGGCCCAAGAGTTTCTTCCCCCCAAAGGAAGTTGGAGGAAAGACTTATATTTAAGCCGTTTACTGTTTGACTTACTTTTATACTGTTACTAGCCGTTTCGCGCCCGCTTTGCTGGACGAATTAAAATAAATTTTATGTTTCATTATTTTATTTTTTTTTCATATTTTTATTATTCTTCTTTTTAACTTCCCGCTAAGAAAATTGAAATATTTCGAAAATCGAGTTTTTAACAGATGTTGACGTTTGGTGAAGTCCGTATGGATAAATTTTCATAAAAGTAAAACAGCAAATAAAATGAAGGAACGTTGGAATTTAATAAATAAATAGCCATAAACCATCTAGGAAATATTTCGCATCGAATGGTGGTAGTTTCATGTCGATACGATCAGTGGTTTAGGCGTGAAGGAGCCTCAAACGAAGACCATTTTCCTTTTATATTTATACTGTTAAATAATAGTTACTCTACAATGTAAATGAAAGTCTTGTTATTCTAAATATTCTTCTTTGCATATCGATGTCTAAAATTAGTCGATTTCATTCAAATATTTATTTCGACTTTGCCACAAACATGAATGAACATACAACGGAACTAAACTAATCATAACTATTACGACCAACTTCAAATACACGTGTCAAATCCTCGGCCGCCATTGCGTAACATACAACATACGTTTAAATCTCGCATGACTTTGTAAATTAAAGCAAAGATTTAATAAAATAAGTAATCAAAATTTCTCTATTTACTTCTCTAACAATTTTTAGGTTATGATAACGAATACCAGATGTATTTAAAATAAATTTATTTTCCAAAAAGATGGTAATGCGATTTCACTTTGTATTTAACGACCGGTGGATGCGCTATGATTGGAGAGTGATGTACTATTGGGGCGTGATATATCGGCGCGTGGTGGTATACCGGCGCTTGGTGGTATATGGGTGCATGGTGGACGATTGGCGCGTGGTACAGAGGAGCATGGTGGATTACTGGATATACTGCTGAATGGGCTAGGTATCCAGGCGCTGGCTCCGCCACTGTTACCGCTAACACTGCGAAGAGCTGAAAAAATAATTATTATTGTAGATCGAAAGATTAATTAGGTTATCGTAGTTAATATCGCTTCTAAAACAGTTTACCGCATTTTCACCGGTGTTAACTAGGCCGTAACATGAGATTATATACATATATGTCAATAAAAAAATGGAGAAGGACACCCAAATCACCAATGCAGTATACGATCTATTCTTAAATTATCAAATTTTACATTAATTTTTTTCTGCACTTCTTGCTTATTTTCTATCATAATTATTTTTTTAGTTGTTTTTCCTTCTAGGATTGCCTATAAGAGCGTGTTAGCGATAAACATCCCTTATAATTTTTATGTATTAGGTTATTTGCTTTTCTATAATTGGAACGAAGTGTAAATAAATAAATAAATCTAATATATATAATTTTTTATGCATATTTAGCAAGTCTGAGAATCGGCTACTATCTTCTACTACCTTTCAAATGTTAAGGGTGGTTCTTAATTTTAATTTTTTATAAAAGTTTTTTGTTTTTATTTTTTTATGATACAGCTTACAAAAATACATACAACCCTTAATTTTCATCTACCCTTTACGATCAACCCCTATTTTTATTTGTTAGTTAAGAACTTATAACTTGAACTCTGAGGTTTATAATTATAGAGAAAAATCACACGGAAAACCGAACCGTCTCTGGGGTAGCATAGCAAAAGGTTCCATGTCGGTATGTACTAAAAAGGTAGGCTAGGCATTAAGGAGAAACGAAGTTCGCGGGGGCAGCTAGTAATTTTATAAAAAAAACTTTAGAGGTGTCAAGGGACACCCGGATGGAACGAAATTCCTTTCGATTAATTTATATGTTAATTGGTATCATAACTGTATGATAGATTATCTCGACACCAATCTTACGACGAAAAAAAAAAGCCAACATCACGAGGTGTTCCCAGGCGGTCACCCATCCAAGTACTGACCTCGCCCGACGTTGTTTAACTTCGGTGATCGGACGAGAACCGGTGTATTACAATTGCAAATAGCAAAAAAGTGTCGTGACAACTTTTCGTAAGAACTTTTTCCGTCTAGCCCCCTTTCACAACGCGCGATAAGGAACTTCGTTCCAAAAATTGTAAATCTTTTACGATGAGTTTGAGGAGTGCGATCTGAAATACCGCGACAAAAGTTTTTTTTTAATAATATATTATAAATAATAATAATTCCTTGTCAAAACAATAACGCAACACGAAGCAACGAGAATGTAGGTCGTATGTCAGGTAAAACTTAATTAGGTAGTAAAGGTACTTACGATAAGCAGAAGTCGTGTCATCTTGATAAACAGGTCCTGTATGAGCTGTCCACAGCTAATCTGTCTATATATACATATCTATGTATAGCCTTACACCATAGACATAAATGTTATAGACTTCCCGACTTTTGTAATCGTTATTGTAACTGATGATATAATTGCTTTGCATGTTAGCATTTTTCTCAATTCATCCTTATAATAATTTTAATAAGTATTGACGTCGATTTTATTAATTATTAATTTAGGTTTTTGTAGAATTAAACACCTCAAATTGTGGCCAGCCGTTTTTAGTAATTACATAAACTGTTACAAAGACATCTTAGATAAAAAATAAACCTATGCAATTTAATTTTTCTCTCACTCAGACTTTCGCAGCGCTATCTTTTCCAAAATTTTGCAATAACATATCATTCGACATTATTTTTTAGATCACATATTAACAGTTTGTAAGGATTCTGTTAGTTAGCAATCATTATTAAGTATAAATCATGCTATGTTTGCCTGTTATAGAGTGTCAAACAGTTTTTGTTGTTATTTTTATGTGTTCCTAGATTTAAGCACTTAATTTAAAGCCTGTGGGAAAACCTTTCCAAAACGTTGTCTAATGTTGTTGTCCTATTAAGCATTGAAGCTTTAACTACATTTATTATAATTATAATATATTATAACCATTAGGATTTAGGGCCAAACCTGACAAAACAAACGCAGGTGTATGCGAAATTCAGCGCCAACAAATGTGGGGCCTAACCTTGCCTTTGCCAATGGGGAATACAACGTCGCTTTGGAATACTCTTGAAGGTTTGAAGGAATGCAAATTGGCAAGAAACTATAAGTCGCTATAATCCCGCGTGGATTTCCTTTATTTTATCTTGCCAAAATAATATGTTGAATATTATTTTGTCAAGACTATTCGACAATTATGCTTACATTTCAGTCGTATATATCTACATAAATCTACATAAATCGCCTATAAATTATAAACTAATACACACCTTGCTCTGGAATTTCACTATCTATTGGTGAAACTCTTATGAAAATCCGTTCAGCAGTTTTTGAGTTTATCGCGTTAATATGTAAGGGTAAAGATTTATAAACTTTCGCTACCTCTACTATTTTCTGGACTTTCTTACTAGTTAGTGGTATTTAATTTCTTATAAGTACTCAACACTCGGTGAAATAAACTGCTTCTCACTGCTATAAAACCTTTCATCAGAGAATCTTCCTGATATACGGAATATTACTCAGTAAAGTTGGGTTAGAATTAAAATAAGATACGGCTGTATTAGCCCCATGGCCCGGTGACATTCTTGTTAAGGCTGTGAGGCCGTTTATATGTCGGTCAATGGCGTTTTTTGCACTTTACACTGGTTTATAGTACATTAATTACTTAATTGTCGTTAGATATGTAGGCTTATGCTTTATTGTAGATTTTAATAAGCGTCAGTTTCACACTGATTTTGATCTGATCCGATAGCTAAAATATTGTTATTACACTCATTTATTTGAAATAATATAATATATTACTAATCAAGATATTGGTGTATTGGCTGTGGCATCAGCGTGCGACTCTCATCCCTATGGTAGTACATACTTTCAAAACCTGTACACGAATGTCCCCTCTGTCTATGTGCTTTTTCGTAAGGAAAACATCGTGAGGAATCCGACATGCCTTAAAATCCAAAAAGTTGACGGCGTCTGTCAGACATACAAAGCTGATCATCATGCCTATTAGCAAAAACAACTGACTACGAAACAGATGCAGAAATCTGAGACCCGGATCTTAAAAGGACCTTAAGAGGTTGCAGCGCCGCTGTTTTTTGCAAATGTGAATAGATATATATTATATAGTCTATTTTATGAATTATTTTTCTTTATTGGTTGGGATTCTGTGCCTGGCATACATTTTTGGGTATAAGATGTGCATTTTTGAAGTTATACTTCTTTAGGTGCGTTATAAAAAATTGATGAGAGTGAAATTTTAAGATGAGCGCGCACCGTGACACAAAATTAACAGAATGAAGTTGCCCACAGAAGATGCTACGGCATTGGACATAATTTAAAAACAACATTCGAATAATAATAGAATTTATATTGTTACACTTAATGTAAGAGAATAATAATAAATATTTATTTATTTAATTTTTCAAATGTAAACTGAACTTTATTGACTATAATGACTCCTTTTCCAGTCTTTGATTATTTAATTGTAATTAATTATTTGCTTGCAATCAAAAACTATTTTTAATAATGCCAAAGCAGTATAACTTCCTACGCAAGTACATAAGTACACGCACCCTTTTTTTTAATTATAGTGCACATAGCATGAAACATCACTGTTACAGCTGGGGCTTTAGCCCACATCCTCAGGGTTGAGAAGCCACGTTGATCATTACCATTACTGCAAGGAAATTAAATGAAATTTTATACCTACAAAATTCAATAAAAATCAACCAAAACATGAAACAATAGAAGCTAAAAAGTTTAAAGTAAAATAATCATCTTTGTTTTCATTGAGAACAGCCTAATTGATTGTTAAGCCTTCGCGACAAAAACTCTTAGAAGCTTTTTAAAATAATTCCATTTATAGAATTAATATTTATTTTCGGAAAAGTTTAGGGACATTGGAGGAAACAACATGGCGGCCTAATTAAAGTTCTTTTATCTCATCTCAGTAAACTTGTGCTCGCCGTGCTTGTAGAATAAAATTGTTGGCTTAATATTTATTTATACACAAAAATACATACACTATCTTTACAGTACTAAACTAATACGATAATATCGAAAAAAAGACATATAATAAAATATATATATATAATTTTAAATACATAAGAAATTAATATGTGGAGAAACCCTTTGTGTACCTTATACTGTTGTTTCAACCCAAAGGGAGGATTCCGACCAGTCGTATTGACTGGCTCAAAGATTCCTTTACAAAGGGACCGCGTTAAATAAACATATACTGAAGAACCTTAATTAATACCATTTTGAGAGGGACAACTTTTATATATAGTTTGGATTTAATACTTTGTATGGTTGGTACATTTTATGGACAGCCTTAAAATTTCCAAACTTCTCGCGTAATGTAAGGGCAAGACGCCTATATTATACATACAAAATATTCCAATATAATTGCACCATTTTAGCTAATGTACACAATTTGACAAAGACGAAGTGTACTTTGATACAAAGAGTGTAAATGATTTGTTTTCTATGGGTTTCTTAAGCTTTTGTCTCACACTAAGCTTTTATCGTTTATTATTTTGTAAGATTAAATTAATAAGCCAGTTCAAGGAAACAGAAGGTAGTACATGGTAGAGAGTGGCACAGTGCAGACAGAAATGTCAGGATTTGGAGGAACCCTTAGCCAAAAAAGAGCAAACAGATATCTAGAAAGAATGATATAATTGGAATACTTAAATTAGTAATTAATATTACTACGCGAGTGATTTTATCTATTTATTTATGTGAAGGTACTTCAATCCGTCGAATGAACCAATACGTTAGTTTTATACCTAAATAGGACGAGAATTTCCGTTCCCCTGAGGACAAGTGTAATCAGCCACTGGTAGGTTGTATTGCTAACCTACATGCCTAACTGGGTCGGTAGGTAAACAGGTATAACATATCGAATCCTTATGATAAATTACCTTTCAGCTTTTTTGCTTACACGATATTGCCAATCGATACAAATTTTATGAAATCTTATGTTTGTTTAAGAGTACTTGATGACATACTTGGATTATGTACTTAAATGCTTGATTGATTACAAATTTTATACTTTATTACCATAGTTGTTATTAATAAACTATATTAGTGATTGCAAACTAAAAGACAGAAAGTTTTGGTCTGACTTTATCTGCCGACAAACTCAAATATAATGGAGTTTTGGTATAAAACGCCTCACAGATAGCAATTATATAAAATAAATGAATTTTTAATTTACTAATAAATTTAAAACTAAACTTTAATCTTGACAAATTAGAGATTCTATACTACCCATCTTTAAAATTAATCATTAATTAATATAATGAAAATACCAAAATATCTTGCATTATTTATTGCATAGTACTATACTATAACTTAATCCTAAATAAATGAGTAAATATTTGGTTAAAACTGGCTCACCGTTACAACTACATATTAATATGTAATACCAAATCGTTTTATAATTAATTAATAATTCTTGTTTAATGCTTACGTTAGTTATCTAACAAAGGTAACATACTTTAGGTTCAGAAGATATTAAAAAAAACTTTTTGGTCTAGAACTGCCAGTACGTCGAGTCCATTGCGAAGTCTTTACTATACAAAGATACTGAGTTTTGACGATAATTGTCAATACTCCTATTTAAAGAAAAATGGAGTATGCCAGAACGGGTTTATTGGATGAGAAAATGTGCTGACGTGAGATACAGCTATTGGAACATGGTGGATGATCGGGGCGTGGTGAATTATTGGAGTGTGGAAAAACGGGTAATACACTGACAGAAGAATTGGCTTCGGCGCGGGCGCTGGCTTGCCACTTGCAGCAGCTAATACTGATAGTATAAGCTGAAAGAAATCGTACAAAGAAGCGATGATTTATTTTTAGGTTGACATATTGATATGGTAACAACTACAAAGGTTACAAACAAATAAAAAGTATATAATTAAAATATAAATAATAATAATTTTATCAACTCGCAAGTCACACAAATCGGACTTGGAGGCACAATTCGAAATTCCACAGGGATCACATCCACGTCAGTCGTTCCACGACTGAGCGTTTTTCAAGGCAGTTTTTGCCTCGCACCAGCTCTATGTGGAACCAGCTGCCCACTGAAGTATTTCCGAACCAATTTATCTTAGGGTCCTTCAAAAAAAGAACGAAGTAATTCTTAAAAGGCTGGCAACGCACTCGCGAGCCCTCTAGCATTGAGAGTGGCCATGGGCCCGCCGGTATCACTTAACATCATATGAGCCTTCTACCCCTGTTCTATATAAAAAAGTCAAATATATTTTGTTAATATTCTTTAAAAATAG